CGCCCTTTTTGGCCAGCTGGAGTGGACCAGAATCTGCCCTGCTCTCTGCACCCCATCTGCCCTGGCTCTGGTCTCAGCACCCCACCTGTCCCAGCTCTGCTCTCAGTGCTCCACACTGTCCCAGCTTCCGCCCTGGCATCTCTGAAGTGGGGCCCCGAGTCCTCACCCACCCCTCCAGCCGGCAGCGGAAGGTGCTGTCCCAGTGCAGATTCTTGGGGCCCGCGGGGCCAGAGAGGACCGTGGCGGTCAGCTCCACGAGGCCACCCCGTAGCCAGGTGCCTGCGAGTCGGGTCTGGTTTACGCGGGGTGTGCCTGTGTGTGCCTGGGTGCTGTGCACATGGATGCATGCGTGTCTCCTGGTGTTCGCCCAGATGTCAATGTGGGAAATTTCCAGCATCCGAATGACTCAGCCCGAGATGAGCAGCTTCCATCTGCGATGGGAGGCAGGGAGGCGGGGCCCTTTCTCTGTGGGAGTTGGACTATCTGGGTTCCCATCTTGGCCACGGGTTATCTCGCTTCATGACCTTGAACATAGCACTTCCTCTCTGTGAACCTAAATCCTTTCCTCTGGGGGAGGCGGGGCGGAGAGGGCAGACCAAGGAGTCAGGGTGGCAGAGAGAGAAACAGAGAGAGGGAGAGGGAGACAAGGAGAGAGGAAGAGAGGGAGAAGAGAGAGAATGAGAGAGAGAGAGAGAGAGAGACAGAGAGAGAGAGAGAGAGAGAAGAAAAGAGAAGAAACGTTGCCTGCCATACAGGCAGGCTGGCGAGTGGTGGTGGGAAGGAAACTAGAAACATCGGTGGTGGGAAACGTATGCTGGTGAAGGTTCGGGTGTTGGAACATTGCATGCCTGAAACCCCATCATGAACAACTGTGTAACTGTGTATCTCGTGGTGCTTCAATTAAAAAATATTTTAAAAAAAAAGAATAAAGGGAAACATTGGTATAGTTCGACCTCAAGCAGCCTTGGGGACAGAGGGGCTGGGGGGACAGCCATCCACCTCCCAGCCAAATCCCAGCACGACCTGGAGCCTGGGTTTGAGCTGACGCATGACAGAACGTGGAGGGGTTCTGGCCTCAGCTCCAGGATGGTGGTTATGGAGGAAGAGCCAGCAGCAGGGGGGCACTGGCTGGCAGCAGGGGGGCATCGAGCTGGCAGCAGGGGGCCAGAGGCCTTGGGAAACTGCAGGCAAACGTGGTGGGAGAGGCCATCTCCACTTTCTCTTTCCTCTTCCGGAAAGTTCTGTGTCCACCTGGTCCTCACACCTCAGAGTGGAGTTGCACACATATGTGCATGCCCATTTTCACACATGCACACACGCGCACACACAGACGCACACGCATGCACGCATGCATGTGCCGTTGACTTTTGACTCTTATTTTGTTGCCCCTATACAACAGTGCAGCAGGCCACAGAGGCCATGTGGAGCCAGGGCCAGGGGCTGGCTTCCTGTGGAGATCACGGGCCAGAACCACTGCCAAGGCCGCAGCCTGGCCTGTTAGCAGTGAGGTGTGGTGACGGTCACGTCTAAGGTCACCACTGCTCTGCCCGTCCTGGAGCACGGCCCCTGGGGAATGTCCACCAGGTCTTTTGGGGTTATTTTGCCCCGGCCATGAAGAAAGGAGGGCGAAAGTCAACATGTTTATGTCCTGCAAGAATTCCTTCAGAAAGCAAAGGTCATGTACCCGGGGGTTCTGCTGACCTCTGGAATGAGCTCTCAGTCCTGCTAAAGATCTCAGAGGCCCTGGGGCTGGAAAGTAGAACAGCAGGTAGGGCATTTGCCTTGCACCTGGCAGACCCGGGTTCGAACCCCGGCATCCTTTAGGGTGCCCCAAGCACCGCCAATAGTAATTCCTGATTGCAGACATAGGAGTAATCCCTGAGCCCCCAAAAGCAAAAAGCAAAACACGCAACACAGAGAACTCAGAGGCCTGGCATGGGTGAGCCCACTAGAGCGAGGAGCCCCCTTCTCCCTCCAGCCAGCACGAGGGGCAGGGCCCAGGCGCCTGCCGGGAGTGACAGGGCAGCTGGGGTGTGTCACAGACAGCTGGTGTGACTTGTCTTGTGGGGCAGGAGTCGCCACTTCCTCCTTGATCTCTGAGCCCCCAATAAATAAGTATCTCAGCTGAATAAATAAATAAGTTCCTCTCAGCTGACCGATGTGGGGAGGGACTGGAAGGAATCTCCCTTCCCCCAGCCCTTGCTTTCTCAGGGGCATTTCCACGGGCAGGGAGCAAAGCCTCATGGGGGAGAAATGAGTGAGGAGCTCAGAGCAGCCGAGTCCGGAGTCCCAGCAGTCTCCCTGCAGGGTAGAGGCAGGAGAAGCCGTGCAATAAGGCTGCCTCTGCCGAGGGCCACGCCGCTTCCATGGGGCCACTGGCTCCTGCCTTCCTGCCGATGAGCTGAATGGATGGAACCACGTCCCCACCCTGCCCAGACCTGGGCTCTCTGTTGCTCTGTGGTCCCCCCAGACCCAGAGAAAAATGTTCCCCACACATAGGACGTGTTTCCTTTGAGAGTTTCCTGGAGCTGGAAGGCTCTGCAGGGCTGAGGTATGTGCCTGGCTTTGATGCGGATACCATGGGGTCCTTGGAGGCCTCCACGCTCCCCCAGGTGTGGCCCTGGAAGCCCCCTGACAGCACGGCTTACGTGGCCCCCTCAGCACTGCAGGGCCCTAGCAGGTCTGCACCCCCAGGCCCTGGACTGCGGGCTGGCTTGGCCCCGAGAGCTTTTGTTTGTGTTCACCAGGCTCGGAGTTGGGTGAGGACAGTCGCTGGGGAAGGGCACCGCCTCTGGTGGGCAGAGAGGCATCAGTGCCAGCTGGGCTATGCCCACTTGGAGCCCGAAGGCCAAGTGAGGAGGGGGAGCACTGGATTTGGAACCTGTAGTTCAGGTTCTATCCAGCCACCCAGGGCTGTGTGACTCACAGTGACTCACCTGCCCTCTCTGGGCATCAGCTTACTCAAGGGCATGGATTGGACCGGGTGACTCTCTCTAGGGTCCTCTCTGGCTCTCTTAAGGACACCAGGAAGACTGAATAAATGTGGACCTTGGGGATTATGAATCAAAGGGGTGGAGTGTGGGCCTGGACTGTGTGTGTGTGTTGGGGTGGAGGCGAGTTCAGCCTCCAGCCCTGCATGACTTCTGCCACAGCATCGACAGTTGGGGTCCTGGTGACCCCTGCCCCAGTCCCGAGCACTGAGCTCTTCGGAACGCCCAGAAGTGGCCCCACATAGCCGGGGGAGCCCCTCAGACACCACCGCCAGGAGGTCTGCACTGGGGAGGCACCGTGTGAGGAAGGAGAGGCCTCCCCAGGGCGGGCAGCAGGCGGTCACAGGCAGCAGAGTCCGAGCCGCGTGTCCATGGACAGCATTTATTAGGCGCCATTCTCAGAGTGAAGACAGATACAGGCGAGCGCTGACTGGGGGCCGCAGTAGCCACTGCCTTGGGGGTCCAGGGGCTGCCCGGGGTGGGGGTGTGGGCGTGGGGCACGGCACCCACACATATTGCATATTCTGTGGCAGTGTGCCCAGGCATAAGGCATCGGGGAAGCAGAAAGGCTGCCTGCAGTGGGCAGGGCGGGGCAGGGGGCGGCGACACGGGTCTTCCAGGCCCCCAGGGCAGACCCAGCCAGAGCCGGAAGCGGGGTACAGCCATGTCCAGCCTGGGGTCTCGGGCCTCTCTCCCCAGCGTCTCCCCGAAGCTTTGGTTCTGGCTCCCTCGGGACAGACACGACAGGACCCCTCGAGGGGAGGGTCACATGCAGGACACAGGCAGCTGGCGCCGCCCTCCACCCCTCATATCAACCTCGAGGGCACCTTGGTCCGGAGTCCCAGGTGGCATGTGGGCCCCCGGGCCCTGCGCACAGGGTGGGGCACTCTTCTTCCTGTTCTTCCCTGGGGCTTCCTAGTGGCCAAAACAAAGAGGGCCGGTGTGTGTGTGTGGGGGGAGGGGTGGCTGCAGCTGGTCACTCTTCGGACCCGCCACTCCTGCTTCCTTGGGTGCTAGGCCTGGCCTGGCTCCACAGAGCTAAGGAGCTGCCAAGATACCAGCATCGGAGGGCAGTGTTGAGGGGCAAGATGCCCCCCAACCCCTGGGAGCAGTCTTGAATACCAATTCTTGCTCCGCCGGCAAAACTGTCGTGGCCCCTTTGGGCATCTAGGGCGCAGGGAGGCAGGCGGTGGGCCTGCCAGGCTGAGCCCCCCACCGGAGGGCCCTTCCCTGCTGAAGCTTAGCTTCTCTCTCACCTAGGGGGCTCTGGGAGACCCTGCCTGCTGCCACTGGGGGCCGGCCCAGCCCACTCCCGAAGTTTGAGTCTCCTGGCCCATTTTCCATGAGATGCAGCTCTGCCAGGCCCAGTGACCTGCGGGAGTCCTTGAGCACTTTGCAGGGACCCGCTGAGGGTCCTGCCTCTTGGCCTGGTGGCACCAAGGCTGAGCCCCACTCCTGGCCTGGTTTCTGGTTTCAGCTCGGATGGTTCACGCGTGCCAGGGTTGTTGGAGCTGGCCCCCATGTGTGGGGGGAGGAATGGGACGGGGTGACCTGGCCGCCTGCTCCCCTTTGCCATTGGCTCGTATCACCTTGGGTAGGTCACTTTCCAATCTCAGGGTCTCTATGTCATCTGCCACACGGGGAGCTCCCTGCCCTGTGACTTCACTGGTGTGTGTGTGTGTGTGTGTGTGTGCTCACATGGGTGTGCGTGCGAGTGCATGTGTGTATGCATGCGTGTGCTCACGTGTGTGCGTGTGCGAGTGTGTATGCAGGTATGTGCACACATGCATGTGTGTGCGTGAGTGTATGTAGGCACGTGTGTGCATGAGTGCATGCACACATGTGTGCAAGTGTGTACAAGCACGTGTGCATGCATGCATGTGCAAGTGTATAACTGCATGTGTGCATGCATGTGTGTTTGCATGTATATGTATATGTGCAAGTGTGTGCATGTGTGCACGCATACATGTGTGTGCATGTGTGTACGTGTGTGTGCGCGTGCACGTGCAATCACAGGAATGAGTAGGCAGGGCACTGTGATCAGAACTTGAAATTCATTCTAGAGCGTGGAGAGTGGGTCATGGCCAGCAGCTCTGAGGTGGAGGGGTCAGGATCAGGTCGGTTTGCTTCCCAAGGGCAGTGTCTGGAAGGCTGGATGACCCCTCTCCCTCACCCCTACAAAGATCATCGGGGGCCAGTCAACGCTCACTGCTGGCCAGCAGGACCACCCTGCAGGTCAGTGGGCCACTGTCCCCCACCCCAGCTCTGGCTGCTGCAGCCTGTGGGCTCTCCCTCTTGTCTGCCTGCCCTCTGGGGTCACTTCTAGGGTCTGGGGGCTTCCCCCTTTTTCCATAACTGCAAAGCCATGCACACCACTACGGAGGGTAGCAGGAGAGGGGAGACAGCAGGGGATGCAGACCGGGGGAGGGACGGAGTTGGGGTGACCCAGACGAGGACGCGCTGGCGCGGGGCGGGGGAGACCTGGCAGGACAGAGGTATAAATAGAGACGCAAACACACACAGAACACCGAGTCCCCTCCCGGCGGGGGGCAGACGGGAGGGCCGAGGTCTGGGTACCAGCAGGGCGCCGGGGCACTGGGGAGCTCCTTCGGCTTCCAGGGGGATGGGAGGCTCCCGGCTCCCGCCTTCCACCCTCTCCCCCTCGCGCCCCCCGCAAATTTCACATTTCTCGGACTTCGCAGGGCAAGGATGGGGGCTCCTGGGGTCTTCAGAGCCCGGGCTCCTGCCGGCTGGTGCGAGCAGGCACAGTCGGAGAGGGGGGACGGAGGGCGAGCGGGAGGGGACGGCTGCCCCCGGCCAGCCCGCGCCCTGCGCGCGCCCCCCGGCGCCCGGGGCCCCGCGCGGCGCCGCCCGTCACACGGAGCTGCGGCGCTTCATGAGCCCGCGGAAGGTGGACAGGCTGTGCAGGCCCGTGGACACGGAGCTGATGGCCGAGCGCGGCGCCCCGCTGCAGAGGCAGCGGCGCGAGGGCGTGTCGCTGTAGCGGCCGCCCCCCGGGGACGAGTGGCTCTGCTCCACGCACGTATCGGACGTGGACAGGTCCCGCGGGATGATCATGGGGATGGAGTACTGCAGCTTCTCGCGGCTCTTGTACCACAGGCACGAGCACATGGACTGGAAGTGCAGCACCTCGGCGTAGACGTTGCGGAAGCCGCCGCCCGCCGCCGCCGCCGCCGCGGCCGCCGTGGACGAGGCGGTGTCGGTGGTGTGCGCGCTGCCCGCGCTGCCCAGCGCGCCCGCGGCCGCGCCCAGCCCGGCCCCGCCGCCGCCGCCCGCGCCCGCGCCGCCCGCGCCCGCGCCGCCCGCCTGCCCGTTGCGCGTGAGCAGCGCGCGGTGCTCGGCGTCGCGCTTCTCGTCCTCGGCGTTCATGGTCATGAAGCGCAGCACCACGAGGTTGAGGAAGGCGCCGATGACCGTGAGGCCCGTGAGGATGTAGACGAAGCTGAAGGCCACGTACTGCGGCTGCGTCTGCAGCGCCTGGTCCTTCTGCAGCGCCACGTAGTCGCCGAAGCCGATGGTGGTGAGCGTGATGAAGCAGTAGTAGTAGGCCTGGAAGAAGGTCCAGTGCTCGTAGTAGGAGAAGGCGGCGGCGCCGATGCACAGCGTGCTCACGCACGAGAAGAAGCCGATGAGCACCATGTTGGCCATGGACACGTCGGCGCGCCGCATGCCCAGCCCGCGCTTGGCGCGGTGCAGCAGGTACTTGACGAAGGTGTTGATGCGCTCGCCCAGGCTCTGGAACATGACGAGCGTGAGCGGGATGCCCAGCAGCGCGTAGAACATGCAGAACACCTTGCCGCCGTCCGTGCTGGGCGCGGCGTGGCCGTAGCCTGCGGGACAGGGGCGGGGGGGGGGGGGGATGGGGGGTGAAGAGGCGGAGCTGGTCAGTTACAGGGGCCTGCCCTTCCCGGAGACCCGCAGCCGTGCCCCCCCCATACTTTTTAAATTTTATTATTTATGATTTTTTTCTTTTTGGGCCACACCCGCTGATGCACAGGGGTTCCTCCTGGCTCTGCACTCAGGCGGTGCGGTGCTCAGGGGACCATATGGGATACTGGGAACCGAACCCCGGTCAGCCGCGCGCAAGGCAAACGCCCTCCCCGCTGTGCTATCGCTCCAGCCCCCAACTCTCCCCCCCTCCCATACTTATTTTATGTTACTTTTTTGGTTTTTGGGTCACACCCGGAGATGCCCAGGGGTTACTCCTGGCTCTGCACTCATGAATTACTCCTGGCAGTGCTTGGGGGGACCATATGGGATGCTGGGAATCAAACCAGGGTCCGCCGTGTGCAAGGCAGATGCCCTCCCTGCTGTGCTATCGCTCCAGCCCCCAACCCTCCCCCCCCATATTTATTTTATTTTACTTTTTTTTTGGTTTTTGGGTCACACCCGGAGATGCTCAGGAGTTTCTCCTGGCTCTGAACTCAGGAATTACTCCAGGCAGTGCTCGGGGCACCCTATGGGATGCTGGGACTCGAACCCGAGTCGGCTGTGTGCAAGGCAAACGCCCTACCCGCTGTACTGTTGCTCCAGCCCCCAGCCTCCATCTTTCTTACCCGCCTAGGAGAGAATATTTTTGTTCATATTGAAAATTCTTCAAAGAAGGTATTGTTATTGTAAATCGGATGAAATCGGGCCCCCAATGGGAAGAGTAGCTAATGAATTGCAGTTCAAACGGCGAATACAAAGTATTTGGAGTTGGATCTGAAGGAGGGGAATAGAATTAATTCCAAAATAAAATTTCAGAACTGGTCAGATACTCTCTTTGCATTCCTTGGATGTTAGAGCCCCAAACTAACATAACTGTCTCGATTGTCCTGCCTTGCAGGCCGGGGCCACTCTCAGCTCACTCACTGCTCCTGGGCTGCCCCACAGAGCACGTGGTTCCAGGCATCAAACCCAGCTGCCATCAGACGAGCCTGCACTCAGCCCTGTATGTTTTCTATTTTTTTTTCTGACTCTGAACTGACCACTGCCAGGCTGCCGGCCTACCTTTGGGGAGGAAGGCCTCAAGTCCCACCTCACTCCTTACCACAGGCTGAGGCTTAAGGTCTAATTCTATAAACACATTGTTTGGCTGAGGGGGCCACACCCAGCAGTGCTCAGCACCTACTCCCAGTTCAGTGCTCAGGGCCTACTCTCGGCTCAGTGCTCAGGGGTTGCTGCCTCAGGTTGCTTGAAGAATCACTTTGTACCAGGGTTTGAGCCTGGGGCTCCTGCAGGCAAAGCACATACTCAGCTGACTAAGTGCTCTTGCCAGCACTTTTTTTTTTAATTGAATCACCGTGAGATACAGTTACAAAGCTTTCATGTTTGAGTTTCACTCATGATGATTGACCAAATGATCAAACACCCAACCCTTCACCAATGCACACTTTCCACCACCGAAGTCCCCAGTACCCCCCCCCCCCCTGCCCCCCATCCCACCCTTCTCCTTGCCTGTGTGGTAGACAATTTCCACAATACTCTCTCTCTACTTTGGGACAGTCAATATTTCGACACCAGTCCCACCATTATTATTTGGAATTTTCCCACCACCACTCAAACCTTCTCCAGCACTTTTTTAAACTCTCTCCGAGAACTGCTTGAAACGTTGTGGTACTTCCATCTGGAAGCAGTGGGGCTGGATTTGTGGGCAGTGCTATAGTCACTGGAGCCTTCTGACTCACGAGAGCCAGAAAGGGGTGCCCAGCAAGGGAAACTGAGGCTCATGGGAGGAGATGCTGTTCTTTGTCTCTGGGCCAAAGGGCAAGGTTGTCAGAGAGCCTGCTGATGTGGGCACCCGGCTAGGTGGGCCAGGAGTAGGGGAACCATTCCTGGACACTGGGGTCTGACAGTGCCTGTCCCACTGTCCTCACCTGTGCCCACATCCAGCTTGGGTTTGTGAGGACCAGAGGTGCCATGCCTTCCTGTCCCCTGTGGTTGGGGCTGGGAGAGGGGCCCGGTGCTCAGAAAGCTCTGAGGAGTCTTCCTCGATTGGGGGGATCAGGCCCAGCCCTGACACTGCCTCTCAGCATACACGGACTGGGCCGTCTCACTCCCGCTAACACCACCACAGACTCAAAGGTTCTCAGAGCAGAAAGGAGGCAGGGGAGGCTCAGAGAGGGAAAGCAACCTGCTTGTGGTCACACAGCCAGGGAGCGACAGAGCCAGGACCCTGACTCAAGCTCCCCCATGCCCAGTAGGGCCTGTGCAGGGCAGCGGGGTCACTCCACCACCCGGGAAATTCAGAGCGTGGGGCGCTGGCCATGCCTCTCCCTGGCATCCTCCTGGCCTGTTCCTTCCACTCCCAGCCCAGAGCCTTGGTCAGGGCCTGAGTCAGTCAGGACTAACTCAGAGGCCTGCTCTCGCCCTCCTGTGCCAGTGATCTGTGTGCCTGACTTCTGACCTCTGACCACGTCAGCCACAGCCTTGGCTGGAAGGAGGAGTATGGGGTTAGGAGGTGACTGCCTGGGAAGGCCCTTTCCACTTGGGCCTCTTTTCTACTCATCTCTCACGTGGGGGCCTGGGCCGTGGAAGGTTCCTGGCTTTTCACCCTTCATAGAGTTTAAACGCTGAGAGATTCTTGCTTGTTCATTTTTCGTAGATGTGCTGCCAAACTGAGCCCTTTGGCTTGTTTGTTTTAGGGGCCTTCTCAGCCATGTGGAGGGCTTAGGGGGCACCCCAGGTGTGTTACTCAGTTCGGTGATGCTAGGGACCGCCTGGGCTCTACCCAACAGTACTTGGGGCTTGGAAATGTGGTGCTGGGGCTGGAGCTTGGGGTCTTGAACCTGCTATACACACACTTCCCATCTCTGAGCATCGCCTGGCCCTGCCCTCTGAAACATTTCTTTTTTTTCTCATTTTTTTTTAAATTTTTGGATCATACCTGGCGATGCACAGGGATTACTCCTGGCTCTGCACTCAGGAATTACTCCTGGTGGTGCTCAGGGGACCGTATGGGATGCTGGGAATCGAACCCGGGTCGGTCGCGTTCAAGGCAAACACCCTACCCGCTGTGCTATCGCTCCAGCCCCTGCCCTCTGAGACATTTCATCTGTGAAGCCTGAAGAGTTGATGAGTGCAGTGTAGCCACTCCTTGGCGTGGATGCTGGACACATGGTCCCTGTGTGTCATCTGCCCAGGAAGCGTTGGCCCACACCTGCTGATGAGGAATTCTGTGGGGTGAGGGATACGGAGCACTGAGCCTGAGTATTGCTTCTGTGATGCTTCGTCAGTCCCAAGAGCAGAGAGGAAGGAACTCTGACTTCCTGGTGGAGGTGAGGGTACCTCGCTCATCTCAGTTTCCTCTTCTGTGATGTGGGAATCACACTGCTCCTCCCCGCCCCCCCCCCCCAAGCACAGTGGGGGATTCGATGAGTCAGTAAACCTCAAACACTCACACACATCAAGTAGTGGCTCCTTATTTGGGGGGAACATCAGGATAAGACTCTAAAGCGCCTTTGACCCTCAGCGTCCTGTCACCCGGGTTCCCCAGAGTGCACTTCCTGGAAAGCTGGTGGCATGGGCTGTTGGTTCTCACTGGGCGAGGGAAAGGGTTGCCAGGTGGAGTTCAAGTGGACGAGGGTTGACTTTAGTGGGATCTGTTGTGGTCTGTGGAGGGGGAGAGCTGCTGACTTGAGTCGAGGATGGTTTGGTTCCCCCACTCACTACCCTTGGGACACTTTCTTTTTCTCATGGGCCTGGTGCTCAGTGGGTGTCCCTTGGAACACACTTTGGGAAACGTTCCTCTGCCCAGTCGAGCCTCTGAGATTCACCTCCCAGGACTGCTGTGCCCACTGTGGTCACGTGTCCTCTCTGCCTGCCATAGGTTAGAAACACAAAACCCTTGGCGGTGCCTGGCTGAAGCCCATTTCCTGCTTCCCTGCTGCCCGGTTATCTAGTGTAAACAGTGCTCACTCCACCCCCTGCCCGCCCCCATGTTCTCTCCGAGCGACCCTGGCACAGCGGACCTGGGGTCTGAGGCGTCCAAAGGCTGCTGGCTTGGCAGTTGGGCTCTTGCAAATTGGGATGTGGGGAGGGGGCTTGGCCTTGGAGTGGTACCTGCCTAAGCCCGATGGGGCAGCCAGAGGGGGAGGGAATGGCACAGTCACGCCAAAAGGGGCCTGGGGCTCGCCTGCTGCCTGCAGAGGGCAGTCCGGCCTCACCCAGGGGGCACCTCAAAAAGCCCCTTTCTGGAGCCTGAGTGACATACCTCAGGGAGGTGAAGCTGGGGTGTGAAAGGTGGGGTGCAGGGCTGGCAGGAGGGAGGGAGCAGGGTGGAGGTGGGGTGGCGAATGTGGGCTCAGATCCCCAGGCTAATGCTCCAACAGGCCTTGGGGTACTGGTCTCCAGGGCAGTCCTGGGGCCCAGCTCCTGGAGGCTGGTCTGACATAAGGCCCGGCAAGAAGGGGGCCTTGGGGGTCCAGACCACCTGCCTTCAGTGGACCCTTCTGGGCTCCAGAGGCAATGTCCCCTGCTTGGGACCTGGCCAGGGCCTGAGCAAGCCTGGGAAGCAATTAGGGCCTCTGGGACCCTGGTTTGGGGGTAGGGCAGCAGTGGGGCAGGGTTGGTGCTGGGTGTGGAGTTTGTCCCCTGGGTCCTAGTCCCCCAAGGGAAGGCAGAGCCTCTGAGTGCCCCTTTCCAAAGCCTCTGCCCCCTCCCCGGCAGACTGTCCTGGCTCCCTGCCCCTCCTTCCCCTCACCCTCCCACCCCGTTACTCCCATTCTGGGTCCTCCCATCCCCCACGTTCCCTGGGCCCACATGGGATTAGGGGGAGCCGAGGGGGAGGGTGCTGGTGTCATGGAAAATCCAGCAGCAGCCAAGGTCAGTGTTTGCAGACACAGCCTGG